AATTCAAAACATACTCGTGCGATTGAACATTGATTTGTGAAAATATTTTGATCGTATTTCACTCCTTTTTGACTTCTAATTACATCCAATTGACCCATAGCATTCTCGAGTCTTCATCGTAAGGTTCGACACAACTTTTGAGTATTGATACTTTAGTTCTCAAACTTTGGATGTTCCAATTTTTTTGCCAATTTTCATTTCTTTTTTTCAATTTCATTTTTATTCATCGAGTTTCGCCTAATAAACAAAATATGCAATAAATTAAGCTATAATTATTCAAAGGAACTATTAAATGTCTATAAATTTAGATCCAAATAAGTGTATAAAATACACTTATCAAGAGCTAAAGAGAAATCAACTCATAATTTTATTATAGCCCTCCATTTAAGCCTAGAAATTAAGAAAAAAATGTGTAATGTGTACAAAAAAATATGTGAGTTTAAATTATTATTATTTTTGAATTCTAATCGTTAAAGTATGTACTTGTATATGGAAAAGGTTCCTCCTAATATTTTTGACAGAAAGATTCTACCATTAATTTAAGTTAATGTAACGTTTAGATTACCTAGTCTTTGTCTGGGCTCATTTATTCTCAAACTCATTTTCAACTATTCATTCTCAATAAGATTATTTTGCATGTAAATTTCGAACTTTTCCTATATTTTAACTCCACGTTCTTAAGAAAAAAAAAATCATCTTTACAAAATCTAATTCTCAAAAGTGAGGTCAAACAAGGATTTAATTATGAACATCTCACGCTATCTCCTCTCTCTTATTAATAAGCAAATTTTTTTATACACTTATCCATACTTATAAATTTGATTTATATTTACAAGTTGAGTAGATTTATACTTAAATGTCTATAAATATTATCTTTGTAGGTAAAAATACGGATTTTGAGGTAAATGGAGAAAATTGAAGATTTTGAACCTAATTAAAATTAGTTCGAAGCAATTAAATATTAACCAAATTGCACGGGATTGATAAGGAGCTGTAAGAGATAAATGAAAGGGAAGAATCTTCCTAAGTTTCAGGATTGAAATTCAACTTATCAAAAGTTTGGGGACTAATTTGCACACTTTCAAAACGAGAGAAGTACCCATTTATGATGATTGCGGAGGTTCAGGAACCAACATGGACGCTGTTAGAAATTGTGAGATCAATATTAAAGAATTTTACTGATCAAATCGTATGAAAAACTTGAAGTGGGAACCAAGTAAAAATCTAAAACTTATAAGCGATGACTTTTGTCCATCGTCACCATGGGACCCTGTTTGCAACGGTCAGCCCGTGGCCCGTGTTTGGGAGTGTTTTCGATTAGGGGGAAATTTCAATTTTTGTATTTTTTATTTCGAGTGTATATTGGTCCTTTTTGAAGCACGACTTTCAATGCAGGTCGAACAATATATAAGAACATATTTTAGATCAAACAAGGGGTTATATAGATGAAAGAGAAAAAGGAGAAAGGAGAAGAGAGAAAAAGAAAAAGTTACGGATTCGATAATTTGGTGTGAATGAGGATTCTTAGTACGAGAAAATTATATTTTTCTCATTTTTCTATAAATTCGGTGATATGCTCCAAAGCTTGACGTGTAAGTAAACCAACGAATGGGAGAAACGATATTATCTAGTTTTGAATATTTAATTTATATTCTTAGGATTCATGTAGTTAATTATTTATGTATTGATTTTACTTCTATTCATTATGCTTTGAAGTATTAGAACACCGTCTCATTGATTTGTGAATTTTTAACAAAAAGAATTTAAATTAAACATTTACTGTGTAGTAATACCCGATAATTAGGTAAAAGGTAGACATTAACTTTTATTATTGTTATGGTCTTTAATTGAATTATTCGGTAATTTAATGTATTTAGTTGAACCCTTTCTAGGATTCACATAGAGATACAGTGAGTTATTTTAACTAGATATGATTGATTTAAATTCAAGAAATCGAATACAACTTTAGGAATTGAACTTTAGATGAAACATTGAAGAGAATAACCATTATGAAATTGTGAATTGCAACACTTTTACCACCATACTCAAGTCTTTTAATTGCTCTTGTTTTCATTAGTTAATATTAATTCTAATAAAAATCTTGGCATGGCAACGGAACGGGGCGGGCGCCCCATCAAACAATTCCCCGTCCCGTTACCCGTTTAAGGAGGAGCGAGGTGGGACGAGATCCTTACCTCATTTCTTACCCCGTTTAATTTATTTTATTTTTAGTTTTTGATAATTTATTTTATTTCCCTCATTCATTAAATTTACACAAATAATTTTAGTTGACATTTTCTATTAAAACTAATGAAATTTCGTGAAATTTCCATTTGAAGTATTGAATTCGGAAAAAAAAAATGAAACGAGGTTGGGCATCCGTTACTCGTCCTCGCCCCGAATACTCGATTATGCTGGTTATCCCCGTCTCGTTCCGGGTTGAGCCCCGCGGGTAGGGCTGTAAATGGATCGAATCTATCTATATCTGATCCGATAAGAAAATTTATCTGATCTGATCCGATAATCCAACAGATTTGTAATTGCTAAATTCATATCGGATATCCGATTTGTAATGTTATCGGATATCTGATCCGATAATTCGATC